CTGCCCCCCGGTAACATGTTGTACTGGCCTTACAACAGGCTCCTGTACCGCCCCCTGGTACCGCCGCAGGCCAAGGAGCTGCTGGACCACCTGGAGGGCGTGCTTTCCAATGAGCCCATCGAGGTGCGGCAGCTGGGAAGCAGGCAGCACAGCCGGGCCGGGCGCGGCCACTGGCCTACCGGCGCCTCAAACCTGCCCCCATGCTGCCAGCCTGCCGCTGCCCCAGTTCACCGTGCCGGCCCTCGCCTCGCGCCCTCCCCGCTGCCGCCTCGCCGCGCTTGCAGGTGGTGCCCGGGCAGACGATTGTGGAGGTGAAGCCTCAGGGCGTGTCCAAGGGCAAGATGGTGGAGCGCATCCTGCACGACCTCGCCTCCCAGGGAGGCCACACACCCGACTTTGTGCTGTGCATCGGAAACGACCGCTCCGGTGCGGCGGGGCGGGCGGCGGGCTGCTGGGCGGCTGAGGCTGGGGCCGGCCAGGGGCAGCCGGGGCGCTTGGCAGGCGGCATCGCGAGGGGGGTGGGATGGGAGCCGCCGGCGGGGTGTCGGGCTGGGCCCCGGGCGCTGGGCATGCCGCTGCTGCGGGCTGCGCCCTCGACTCCCTGCCCCTGCCATGTCAGGCGACACACACACACACACACACACACACACAACCCCGGGCCCCTGCAGACGAGGACATGTTCACCGCCACAGACAACAGCCAGTTCTCGCCGCACATGCCTGCCGAAGTGTTTGCCTGCACGGTGGGCCAGAAGCCCAGCAAGGCCCCCTTCTACGTGAACGACCCCACAGACGTGGTGGCCACTCTGAGCAAGCTGGCTGAGGCGCGGGCGGCGCCGGCGCCGGCCTCGCCCTCGGTCTCGTTTGCGTGACAGCGCGGCCGGCGGCCGCCGCTCCCGCGCTTCGCCCCGCGCCTGTTGCTTCTACCTCTCTCCCCCACGCATCCCTTGTTCTTCACCCTGTTGAGCGCTGGAGCATGCCGACTGAGCATGAGCATGTGATACTGAGACGGAATTAGAGAATCAGATTTCAGGGCCGAGTGCGGCCGCGGGGGAGGCGCTGGGGTGGCGGCGGCGGTTCCTGGGGAGCAGGCGCGGTCTTGCCCCGCTTGCGCGGCGATGCACAATGCGGCCATGCCCCATGGCTGCCTCCAGGGCCATCAACAATGCGCATGGGTGCGTGCATACACATGCAGCGACCTTTGCACCCGGGTCCAGCCGCCTCCCCGAGTGCAAAAGCATGCACCGACTACCAAACCCAACCACCATTGCCTGATCGCAGCAGCCCCTTGCAACCCTTCCAGACCCCAGCCGCCCTCGATTGTGCCAACCGCCTCCGAGTGCCGTCCAGCCCGATTTGCGCCTGGCCAGCAGGTGGGGCGCCCAACCTGCTGCTGACTCCCATGCAGTGGGTGCACATTTGCACGCGGGGCATGGGCAGGCGCGGGAGAGGCACAAATTGACATGACACGGTCTGGCTGCCAGCCGCCTGGCTTCCTCCACGCCCCGCCTGTGCTGCTGCTCCCACGGCGGCCCCGTGCGATCCCAGCATCCGATCGCGTGGCGGAGGCGTCTCGGGAGGCGCGCAGGCCCCCTGGCACCCGCCGCAGCATCACCCCCGCTGCCGTCACCACCGCCTGCCTGCAGTTTGAGCGACGCTCCACCCCGTCGACTTGATTAAGCTGGAGAACTCTAATCACCCCGCGTTTATTTATTCTCATGACCACGAA